CTTGGTGTAGGCCCTAGTGAAGGGTAGTTTCGAGACCCTTCGTGGTTGGGGACAGTGTGGCACTGTTCCACATCACTGTACCTCGGCTCTTGGGGTTTGTAGGAGCTGGGAGTCATTCCCAACTCGTAACTCTTCCTATCTTGTGTTCTAAGACTATAGTGGCTGCCATAGTACCGTTCGTTCAAACCGACGCTGTGTCGTCAATTCTTTATCAAATCGTGCAATCTAAATTGCTAATTGTAGACGACGTGAAGACGCTCCAGATCCAATTTGAATCAAGTCATTTGCAGCTGTGAGCAGAACGCTATCAACGTTTGAAGCCGCTGTGCAGAAATCCGTCTGTGCTCTCTATCTTTCGTTTTAGGCACATTCAAGCCTATTGTGACTATAACAAGTGGTATCAGAGCCCCTTGGAGCAGTTTCGACAATGTCTGGACCTGAAGAAAGGGGTGGCAGAGGTGCTGGTGGCAGTGGAGAAGCTCAAGCTCAAGGCCAACCCCGTGATTCAGCCATGGCGCCCATGCAACCAAGTCTTGGCCCACCTAGGGATGAGCCTAGGGTGTTTGGGCTTGACAAGTTCAACGGTGACAACTTTGCTGAATGGTCCTTCAAGATGGAGAACATCTTTGACCACTATGACCTGCTGGAGGTGATGGAAGGAACGGAGAAGCGCCCCGAGAACGACCCGGAGAAGAGCCCGTGGGTGCGGAAGAGCGCACAAGGCTATCTCTTACTTGGGCAAGCGTTGGGGAGCAGTCAGATCCGTCACATCAAGCCATTCCAGCGTGAACCAGAGAAAGGACCAAAGGCATGGGCTGCTCTCAAGGGTGTACATGCTCCTGCAACAGCGGCGGTAGCGGTGGTGTTGGAACGGCAAATGGCGGCACTACGAATTGAAGAAGACGAAGCGGTTGAAGAAGGGGTGCAGAAATTCTTCGACTTGTTGACGCGGCTTGAGGGAGCTGATTTGAACTACAGTGAGCTCCAAAAGAAGACCAAGTTGCTGGCCTTACTCCCAGAGTCATGGTCCTCGCTCATCATCAACCTTAATCGCGACTTGCCCCGCCTCTCGCTTGAAGACGTGAAGCGAGCTATCCTTCAAGAGGATTTCCGCCGCCGTGAGTTGGCGAGTGCGGATGGCGCTGGGGCAGCGAGCATCGGCCGTGGATATGGTCGAGGAAGAGGCAGAGGACGAGGGGGAGGAAGGTTTGGTGGCAGCAACTTCGGCGGAGGCCGCAGGAGTGGCGGTTACGGCAGCGACGACAAGAGCTACGGACGCGGTCGCGGCCGATTCGACGGCGAGTGTCACTATTGCCACAAGAGCGGACACATGTGGCACGACTGCTACAAACTCCCTGATGGTTGGACCCCTGCTCAAGGCCAAGAGGGTAGAGGAGCAGGAGGAGGGAGAGGACGAGGCCGTGGAGGCCGTGGCGGTCGCGGTGGCGGAGCTGCAAACATGAAGAGCGGAGACAACGACAAGGACCCGAGCGACGATCGATACCCGGGTCTATTCTACTTCGTGTCGACGCAAGTACCGGCTGGTCCAGAGAAGGATGAAGGCTTTGAGGAGCCAGCAGCTGTGGGGAAGGTGACCCTACACCCCCTGGACTATTGGGTGATTGATAGTGGCGCTACCTATAGCATGACACCTCGCCCGGACTTGCTCACCGAACTCGAGCCGTCACCGGTGAAGCATGTCACATCGGCTTTGGGGCAGCGAGCAGAGGTGAAAGGCATGGGCAAGGCCATGTTCAAGGGTGCTGATGGGAAGATGGTGGGCCTCAAGAACGTGCTTTGGGTGCCCAGCCTTGCTGCAAACCTGATTTCCGTGCGGCGGTTGGCAAAGGCCGGCATGGACACGAACTCGAAGGGAGCCAAGACCTACACCGCAAGGCTTGGCGATCGAATTCTTTGGGACCTTCATGAGGACAGGGATGTCTACAACAAGATGTGGCAGATCCCAGTGGTCCCTATGCCTAAGGAGAGGCAAGTGGCAGCAAGCATCAGCACCAAGGATGGAGCGGTCGGAAGCGACGATGGCGCGAACGGTCGCGCTAAGGAGAATGAGCTCAAGAAGAGCAAACCTGGAGGGACCAGCAAGTTCAGTGAACCTAAGGAGAGTGGTGCAGCAACCAAGGAGCAGCAAAAGGGTGAGGAGAACCCAGAGGCAGCAGCGGAGGAGGACTACGGAGAGAGTATGTGGGGCGCTATTGCGAGCGCGGCATTCTCCAATCCAACTTCGGCTACGGGGGAGTGTGATTGGCTCACCTTGCATCGGCGCATGGGGCATGTGGCCCTGCCCATCTTGCAGCAGCTAGTGAAGAATGAGATGGTTGCTGGCATACGTGTGAAGGGGGAGCCCGATGAGGTGCTTGGCTGCCCGACGTGCATTCAAGCCAAGTTCACCCGGTTTCCGTTCCCTAGTTCGGAGGCAACGGCAAAGGCACCGCTTGATGAGGTGGTGATGGACGTGGTGGGCCCCCTGAAGCTTGGAGCTGCTGGAGCTGAGTATTTTCTCACCATTGTCGACGTCTACACCCGCATGACTTGGGTGTACGTGCTGGCCAAGAAGAGCGACGTGGCTGAAACGTTGAAGACGGATTGGTTCCCGATGGTGGAGCGGCAACAAGACCGTCTAGTCAAGTCAATCCGCACCGATCGAGGGGGAGAGTTCCTGAGCAAGGAGTTTGGGTTGTGGCTGAAGAAGAATGGTATTCGGCACTCCCTCACCATGCCATACTCCCCTGCAATGAACGGCATCGCCGAGCGAGCGAACCGCACAATCACGGAGGCGGCACGCGGGTTGCTCATTGAAGCCGGGCTACCCGACTATTTCTGGCCTGATGCGGTGCGGAGCGCGTGTGTGGCCAAGAACAGAGCCTTGACTCATGTGGGAGCAGACAAATGGGTGCCCTATGTGGAGTGGCTAGGAAGGAAGCCAAAGGTGGATATGCTTCGGGTGTTCGGGTGCATGTGCATGGCGCTCGTGCCTAAGCATCTTCGGCACAACAAGCTTGGTGCCAAGGCGGTGTGGGCCGTGCACTTGGGCATGGCTCAAAACAGCAAGGGATGGCTTCTTTGGGACCCATTCACCAAGAAGTTCTTGGTGAGCAGGGACTGCAAGTTCATGGAGAACTTCATGTACAAGGATTGGAAGGCGGAGAATGAGGCGAAGATAGGCGTGCGGTTTGGGGAGGTGAAGAGTTCCGGTTTGGAGCATGTGGAGCTGCCTTTGGAGCTGAGCAGCGGCAGCACAACCACAAGGCAATCCTCCCTTGTGAATGGGGGAGAGGAGGCCAATGATGCAGAGGAAGAAGAGGAGGAGGTGCAGCAAGTGAGCGAGCGTGCACCGTCACTCCCTTCCCGTACTACGAGTGCTCCACGGATTCGAGCCACACCGCAGCAACGCCAAGGCCTTCAAGTCCCTGCTGTTGAGGAGGAAGGAAGGGGGAAGAGGAGAGTTCAACCCCCTAATAGGCTGACCTATGATGCGCCGGGAAAGCAGGGCAAGACAGCCCTGGCCGGAGCGGCAATGATGGTCGGAGACGACGAGGAGAGTGACTACGAGGAGTGTGCCTTCGCGTTCTTCTCTCCGGTGGAGATGCCGGGAGAACCAGCAACTCTCAAGGAGGCTTTGGAGAGTAGTGATGCTGAGGAGTGGAAGAAGGCCATGGAGAGTGAGCTGAAGAGCATCGAGGAGAATGACACGTTTGAATTGGTGGAGCTACTGGAGGGGCGTACGGCGATAACGTCCAAGTGGCTCTTCAAAATCAAGTCGGATGCCGACGGCAAGATCGAGCGCTACAAGTCTAGGCTTGTAGCCAAGGGGTACCAGCAGAAGGAGAAGGTGGACTTCAAGGAGCTGTTTGCCCCTGTGGTGAAGCCGACGACGCTGCGAACCCTATTCGCGGGAGCCGCCATCAAAGGATGGGTAGTAAAGCAAATGGACATCGTAACGGCATTCCTTAACGGCATCCTTGAGGAGGAGATTTTTATGGCGCAGCCAGAGGGGTTTGATGATGGTAGTGGCAGAGTGTGGAAGCTGAAGAAGGCCCTCTATGGGCTGAAGCAGGCCCCTAGGCAATGGTACATGAAGCTGCGCGAAGTGTTGGAGGGGATCGGCTTCACTCCCTCAACGGCCGATCACTCCTTGTTCATGCTTGGCGAGGGGGAGCAGAGGAGTTTCATGGTGGTTTATGTGGATGACATCCTCATTTTCTCACCCTCTTCTGACCTTGTGAAGGAGGTGATGCTGAAGCTTCAAGACAGGTTCAAGTGCAAGGCCCTTGGTGACGTGAGCTTCTACCTTGGGCTCCACATCGAACGAGATGTGGAGAAGCGGTGCATGCGGGTGCATCAACGAAAGTACCTGGAGGCATTGGCTGCCAACTTTGGGCAGAGTGAAGGCCATGTGGCTACACCCTTTCCCTCTGGGTTCAAGTGTGTGAAGGGACCAGAGGAGGAGAGCGTTGGTGAAGAGGAGAGGCGCCGATTTCACTCGTTGGTGGGCAGCCTCATGTATGCGGCGGTAAACACCCGACCGGACGTCGCGTTTGCTACCGGGCAGCTGGCTAGGGTTGTGCAATGCCCTAATGAGGAGCAAGTAGCAGCTGGAATGAGGGTGGCCAAGTATCTTGGCCAAACACCGACCGTTGGGCTGCAATACTCGGCGGCGGCACAAAGGCGCCAAAAGGGCGCGGATGGTGTTGAACCCGGGCGTTTGTTCCTCACCGCCTACTCGGATGCTTCATATGCATCAGAACCAGAGGACATGACAAGTGTGGGAGGCTTCATATGCTGTGTTGGTGGAGGCCCAACTGCTTGGGAGAGCAAGAAGCAGGTTGACCAAGCTTTGAGCTCGGTGGAGTCCGAGTACATGGCACTCTTCCGTGCCGTACGGGAGATTGTGTGGCAGCGGCGTTTGTTGGCTGAATTGGGGGAGGAGCAGCAAGGACCTACCCCACTGTACTGCGACAGCCAGGGTGCCATTGCTCTTGCTAAGAACCCTGTGTTGCATGGACTCACGAAGCACATGAGGGTGAAGTGGCATTGGACGAGGAGCATGGTAACCGCGGGTGAAGTCGAGTTGCGCTACGTGAAGACCACGGGGCAGCCGGCTGACATGATGACCAAGAGGCTGGTGGAGCAGCAGCATTGGAAGTGTTGCAAGCTGGCTGGGATGGCTCTGAACTGAGAGAGCAACATATCCTAAGGCCAACAATCCGAGGGGGAGTTTGTTGGTGCAACCCTACGGTTTGCACTCGGTTTGTTGTCCGTGTGCGTGAATGTGTGTGTGTATGGAATGGTATGAGGGCATGGGATAATATATATTTCATGCTTATAATTGTGTGTGAATGTTGAGTCATGATGTCGAGTGTGTGTGTCGAGTCAATAGCGAGTTATCGCTAGACGCGTGTTACGCGGTCGTTTGTGTCTCGCGCGCGGTTTCTACTTTGTCGTGCGCGGTTTCTATTTTGTCCTGTGTCGAACGTTCGGTGTGTCGCAGGTGTGTGCAGCAGACCCATCAAGAACTCAAGGATGAGTTTGTGATGAAGAACCCGAGCCTTGGTGTCAAGCCTCAAGTGATTTCGAAGCTTGCCAAAAGGGTACACCTCAAGATATTGAAGATAGTTACATTACTTTGTGTAGTGTAACATTTCACTTGGTGTAGGCCCTAGTGAAGGGTAGTTTCGAGACCCTTCGTGGTTGGGGACAGTGTGGCACTGTTCCACATCACTGTACCTCGGCTCTTGGGGTTTGTAGGAGCTGGGAGTCATTCCCAACTCGTAACTCTTCCTATCTTGTGTTCTAAGACTATAGTGGCTGCCATAGTACCGTTCGTTCAAACCGACGCTGTGTCGTCAATTCTTTATCAAATCGTGCAATCTAAATTGCTAATTGTAGACGACGTGAAGACGCTCCAGATCCAATTTGAATCAAGTCATTTGCAGCTGTGAGCAGAACGCTATCAACGTTTGAAGCCGCTGTGCAGAAATCCGTCTGTGCTCTCTATCTTTCGTTTTAGGCACATTCAAGCCTATTGTGACTATAACAACATCCACGTCCACGTCCATGACCTCGAGCACGATTACGTCCAGTACCACGTCCACGACCACGTCCACGACCACGTCCACGACCACGTCCACGTCCACGTCCAAGTCCAACTCGACGACCATGTCCACGTCCACGACCAAGACCACGTCCAAGTCCACGTCCAAGAACACGTCCACGTCCACGACCAGGTCCACGACCACGACCACGACCACGTCCACGTCCACGTCCATGACCTCGAGCACGATTACGTCCAGTACCACGTCCACGACCACGTCCACGACCACGTCCACGACCACGTCCACGTCCACGTCCACGACCACGTCCACGTCCACGTCCACGACCTCGACCACGATGACGTCCACGATCACGTCCAGGTCCACGACCACGACCACGTCCACGACCACGACCGCGTCCACGTCCACGTCCACGACCTCGACCACGATGACGTCCACGTCCACGTCCACGACCACGTCCACGTCCACGTCCACGACCACGTCCACGTCCACGTCCACGACCACGTCCACGTCCACGATCACGTCCAGGTCCACGACCACGACCACGTCCACGACCACGTCCAGGTCCACGACCACGACCACGACCTCGACCACGACCACGTCCACGTCCACGTCCACGACCGCGTCCACGTCCACGTCCACGACCTCGACCACGACCACGTCCACGTCCACGTCCACGACCACGTCCACGACCAGGACCAAGTCCACGACCAAGTCCACGACCACGACCAAAACCAGGACCACGACCACGTCCACGTCCACGTCTACGACCACGACCACGTCTACGACCACGTCCACGTCCACGTCCACGTCCACGTCCACGACCACGTCCACGTCCACGACCACGTCCACGTCCACGTCCACGTCCACGTCCACGTCCACGACCACGTCCACGACCACGTCCACGTCCAAGTCCACGACCAGGTCCACGTCCACGACCACGTCCACGTCCAAGTCCACGACCAGGTCCACGTCCACGACCACGTCCACGACCACGTCCACGTCCAAGTCCACGACCAGGTCCACGTCCACGACCACGTCCACGTCCACGTCCACGTCCACGTCCACGACCACGTCCACGTCCAGGTCCACGACCACGTCCACGTCCACGTCCACGTCCACGTCCACGACCACGTCCACATCCACGACCACGACCACGTCCACGAACACGTCCACGTCCACGTCCACGTCCACGTCCACGTCCACGTCCACGACCACGTCCACGTCCACGTCCACGTCCACGTCCAAGTCCACGACCACGTCCAGCTCAATGATTAAGTCCAACTCCACGAGCACGTCCACATCCACGTCCACGTCCACGTCCACGTCCAAGACCACGTCCACGTCCACGTCCACGTCCAACTCGACGACCACGTCCACGTCCACGTCCAAGTCCACGTCCAAGTTCACGTTCAAGACCACGTCCACGTCCACGTCCACGTCCACGTCCAAGACCACGTCCACGTCTCCACGACCAAGACCACGACCACGTCCACGACCAAGTCCACGACCAAGTCCACGACCAAGTCCACGACCAAGACCACGACCACGTCCACGACAAAGTCCACGACCAAGTCCACGACCAAGTCCACGATCAGGACCACGTCCACGTCCACGTCCACGTCCACGACCACGTCCACGTCCACGACCACGACCACGTCCACGACCATGTCCACGACCACGACCAGGTCCACGACCACGACCACGTCCACGTCCACGACCACGACCAGGTCCACGACCACGACCACGACCACGTCCAGGTCCACGACCACGACCACGTCCACGACCACGACCGCGTCCACGTCCACGTCCACGACCTCGACCACGATGACGTCCACGATCACGTCCAGGTCCACGACCACGACCACGTCCACGACCACGACCGCGTCCACGTCCACGTCCACGACCTCGACCACGATGACGTCCACGTCCACGTCCACGACCACGTCCACGTCCACGACCACGTTCACGTCCACGTCCACGACCACGACCACGTTCACGACCACGTCCACATCCACGACCACGACCACGTCCAAGTCCACGACCACGTCCAACACCACGACCAAGTCTAACTCTACGTCCAAGTCCACGTCCAAGTCCACGTCCCCGTCCACATCCAAGTCCACGTCAAAGTCCACGTCCACGACCACGTCCACGACCACGTCCACGACCACGTCCACGACCACGACCACGTCCATGTCCACGACCACGACCACGTCCAGGACCACGACCACGACCACGTCCACGTCCACGACCACGACCACGTCCACGACCACGACCTCGACCAGGTCTACGTCCACTACCACGTCTACGTCCACGTCAACGACCACGACCACGTCGACGACCACGACCACGACAAGGTCCACGACCACGTCCACGTCCACGACCACGACCACGTCCACGACCACGTCCACGTCCACGTCCAAGTCCAAGTCCAAGTCCACGTCCACGTCCACGACCACGACCACGTCCATGTCCAAGTCCACGTCCAAGACCACGTCCACGTCCACGTCCAAGTCCTCGTCCACGACCACGTCTACGTCCACGACCAAGTCCACGTCCAAGACCACGACACGTCCACGTCGAAGTCCAAGTCCAAGACCACGTCCACGACCACGTCCACGTCCACGTCCACGACCACATCTACGACCACGACCACGTCCACGTCCACGTCCATGTCCACGACCATGTCCACGTCTTGACGTAGTGGTTGCACTAGGTTCGGTCGCTCTCTGCGTCTTGTTTTGGGCCGACTCAAAACGTCGACCCCCTGCTCCTCTCTCCACCCTCTGCTTCCACCCCCTCTTCCCCGTCGACGACCACACGGCTCGACGTGGTGGCTCCACTAGGTTCGGTCGCTCTCTGCGTCTTGTTTTGGACCGACTCAAGACGTCGACCCCTTGCTCCTCTCTCCACCCTTAGCTTCCACCCCCTCTACCGCGTCGACGACCACACGGCTCGACGTGGTGGCTGCACTAGGTCCGGTCGCTCTCTACATGTTGTTTTGGGCCGGCTCAAAACGTCGACCACCTGCTCCTCTCTCCACCTTCTGCTTCCACCCCCTCTACCGCGTCGACGACCACACGGCTCGACGTGGTGGCTACACTAGGTTCGGTCCCTCTCTGTGTCTTGTTTTGGGCCAACTCAAGACGTCGACCCCCTGCTCCTCTCTCCACCCTCTGCTTCCACCACGTCTTCCGCGTCGACGACCACACGGCTCGACATAGTGGCTCCTCTAGTTTCGGTCGCTCTCTGCGTCTTGTTTTGGACTGACTCAAGACGTCGACCCCCTGCTCCTCTCTCCACCCTTTGCTTCCACCCCCTCTTCCGCGTCGACGACCACACGGCTCGACGTGGTGGCTGCACTAGGTTCGTTCGCTCTCTGCGTCTTGTTTTGGGCCGACTCAAAACGTCGACCCCCTGCTCCTCTCTCCACCCTCTACTTCCAACCCCTCTACTGCGTCGACGACCACACGGCTCGACGTGGTGGCTGCACTAGGTTCGGTCGCTCTCTGCGTCTTGTTTTGGGTCGACTCAAAACGTCGACCACCTGCTCCTCTCTCCACCCTCTGCTTCCACCCCCTCTCCCACGTGGTCTCCCACATGGCTCGACGTTGTGGCTGCACTAGGTTCGGTCGCTCTCTGCGTCTTGTTTTGGGCCGACTCAAAACGTCGACCACCTGCTCCTCTCTCCACCCTCTGCTTCCACCCCCTCTACCGCGTGGATGACCACACGGCTCGAGGTGGTGGCTGCACTAGGTCCGGTTGCTCTCTGTGTCTTGTTTTGGGCCGACTCAAGACGTCGACCCCCTGCTCCTCTCTCCACCCTCTGTTTCCACCCCCTCTTCCGCATCGATGACCACACGGCTCGATGTGGTGGCTCCACTAGTTTCGGTCGCTTTCTGTGTCTTGTTTTGGGCCTTCTTATGACGTCGACCCCCTGCTCCTCTCTCCACCATCAGCTTCCACCCCCTCTTCCCCGTCGATGACCACACTGCTTGACCTGGTGGCTGCATTAGTTTCGGTCGCCCTCTGCGTCTTGTTTTGGGCCGACTCAAAACGTCGACCCCCTGCTCCTCTCTCCAACCTCTACTTCCACCCTCTCTACCGCGTCAACGACCACACGTATCGACGTGGTGGCTATACAAGGTCCGGTTGCTCTCTGCGTCTTGATTTGGGCCGACTCAAGACGACGACCCCCTGCTCCTCTCCACCATCTGCTTCCACCCTCTCTTCCCCGTCGACGACCACACGGCTCGACGTGGTGGCTGCATTAGTTTCAGTCGCCCTCTGCGTCTTGTTTTGGGCCGACTCAAAACGTCGACCCCCTGCTCCTCTCTCCACCCTCTGCTTCCACCCTCTCTTCCCCGTCGACGGACACACGGCTCGACGTGGTGGCTGCACTAGGTTCTGTCGCTCTCTGCGTCTTGTTTTGGGCCGACTCAAAACGTCGACCCCCTGCTCCTCTCTCCACCCTCTCCTTCCACCCCCGCTTCCCCGTCGACGACCACACGGCTCGACGTGGTGGCTCCACTAGGTTCGGTCGCTCTCTGCGTCTTGTTTTGGGCCGACTCAAGACGTCGACCCCCTGCTCCTCACTCCACTCTCTGCTTCCACACCCTCTTCCGCGTCGACGACCACACGGCTCAACGTGGTGGCTCCACTAGGTTCGGTCGCTCTCTGCGTCTTGTTTTGGGCCGACTCAAAACGTCAACCCCCTGCTCCTCTCTCCACCCTCTGCTTCTACCCTCTCTACAGCGTCGACGACCACACGGATCGACGTGGTGGCTGCACTAGGTTCGCGCGCTCTCTGCATCTTGTTTTGGGTCGACTCAAAACGTCGACCACCTGCTCCTCTCTCCACACTTTACTTCCAACCCCTCTCCCACGTCGATGACCACACGGCTCGACGTGGTGGCTGCACTAGGTTCGGTCGCTCTCTGCGTCTTGTTTTGGGCCGACTCAAAACGTCAACCCCCTGCTCCTCTCTCCACCCTCTGCTTCCACCCCCTCTACCGCATGGATGACCACACGGCTCGACGTGGTGGCTGCACTAGGTTCGGTCGCTCTTTGCGTCTTGTTTTGGGCCGACTCAAGACGTCGATCCCCTGCTCCTCTCCACCCTCTGCTTCCAACCCCTCTACCACGTCCACGACCACACGGCTCGACGTGGTGGCTCACTAGGTTTGGTCGCTCTCTGCGTCTTGTTTTGGGCCGACTCAAGACGCCGACCCCCTGCTCCTCTCTCCACCCTCTGCTTCCACCCCCTCTTCCGCGTCGACGACCACACGGCTCGACGTGGTGGCTCCACTAGTTTCGGTCGCTCTCTGCGTCTTGTTTTGGGCCGACTCAAGACGTTGACCCCCTGCTCCTCTCTCCACCATCTGCTTCTACCCCCTCTACCGCGTCGACGACCACACGGCTCGACGTGATGGCTGAACTAGGTTTGGTCGCTCTCTGCGTCTTGTTTTGGGCCGACTCAAAACGTCGACCCCCTGCTCCTCTCTCCACCCTCTACTTCTACCCCCTCTACTGCGTTGATGACCACACGTCTCGACGTGGTGGCTGTACTAGGTTCGGTCACTCTCTGCGTCTTGTTTTGGGCCGACTCAAAACGTCGACCTTCTGCTCCCCTCCACCCTCAGCTTCCACCCCCTCTACCGCGTCGACAACCACACGGCTCGACGTGGTGGCTCCACTAGGTTCGGTCGCTCTCTGCGTCTTATTTTGGGCCGACTCAAGACGTCGACCCCCTGCTCCTCACTCCACTCTCTGCTTCCACCCCCTCTTCCGCGTCAACGACCACACGGCTCGACGTGGTGGCTCCACTAGGTTCGGTCGCTCTCTGCGTCTTGTTTTGGGCCGACTCAAGACGTCGACCCCCTGCTCCTCTCTCCACTTTCAGCTTCCAGCCCCTCTTCCCCGTCGATGACCACACGGCTCGACGTGGTGGCTCCACTAGTTTCGGTCGCTCTCTGCGTCTTGTTTTGGGCCGACTCAAGACGTCAACCCCCTGCTCCTCTGTCCACCCTCAGATTCTAGCCCCTCTTCCGCGTCCGACCACACGGCTCGACGTGGTGGCTCCACTAGTTTCGGTCGCTCTCTGTGTCTTGTTTTAGACCGACTCAAGACGTCGATGGGAGTGCCAGGGATATTCACGAGCCGGAGAAGGAAGAGGGATGGAAGACAGCAGAGGGGCCACTTTCAGAGATCTGAAGAGGCTGCTGGAGATGGTTTAGAAGAAGCAGGGAGAGGTTCTCTACATTCGAAAATGTAGATCTGGCGTAAGACCGCATAGAGCCAGTCAAGCGGGCCTTCGCTGAAATTGAAGCGGCGGTGGGGAGAGGCTTAGCGGCAGATGCGGCGCAGCTGGGATCCCGATCACATAGGCCGAGGAGGTAGGCAAAACGGAGTGTCGGAGGCCAGTCTCGGGCATTCGCTGGCACAGATGCAGAGGCCAGAACCTAGGCTGGTCATTGACATTCTGGGGCTGAACAGACTGCCAGCGCCAGTGACCAGCCCTGATCACCCCTCGCACTACCAGTGTAATGTGCCAGGGAAGTCGAGATAGGCGCTACCCACCTTGGTATCCTATGCAGAAGCAAGAGGCTTCATCACGGAGGGGGATCAGCCTGGACCAGGGATGGTGTACGACGTGAAACATGGAAGGTGGGAACAGCCAACCGCAGAAGAGAGAGAGCTACCAATGGGGCACAAGTGGGGGGCGACTGCGCATCCCCAAGTGGCAGAGCAGCAGCGGAGGGCAGCGCTGGGCCGCGCCATGGATCTGAATGTCATGAGCTGGTTGGTGGAAACCATGCGCATGCACCTCAAGAGAAAGGAGATCCAGCGGGAAATCAGTGAGAGGCACCAAGAAGAAGAAGTTGTTGAGAGGAGCAGGAGGCAGCTGCAGGCAACAGAAGAGCAGCAGGAAGCCTGGATAGTGGAGGGATGGGCGTACATGGCACTGGAGGCAGAGAACCCGGCCCAAGGAGTGAGGGAGAAGCCCCTGACAAAAACGGGCGAGGGCAGAGAAGCAGGAGCACGGAAGGAAAGGGAGCCTGAGGAGGACTGGCCCATAGGAGAAGGAGTGGGGTCAGAGATAGCTAAGGCCCTGCAGGATGTACTGAAGCAGCATCGGAGCACTTTTGCCTACACGCTGCACGAGCTGGGCAAGTGCAACACTCATCAAATGCAGCTGAAGCTCACAACTGAAGTACCCATATACCAAAGGAAGAGGAGGATGAGCCCTGGAGACTTGGACATATGCCTAGAGAAATGCGCAGAACTGTTGGAAGCATGCCTCATCCAGAGATCAGACAGTGACTACGCGGCAGCAACGGTAGTGGCTGCTAGGAGAGATCTGGCTGGGGAAGTGTCGGCAAGAAGAATGTGCGGAGATTACAGGGGACTTAATAAGGTGACTCTAACAGATAGGTATCCCATGCAGGAGATATTTGACAGACTAGAGGGAGCCGTGGTGTTCAGCTTGCTAGACCTCAGGCATGGATTCAATCAAATACCTATCCGGGAGGAGGACCGCAAAAAGACAGCCTTTCGTGGACTAGATGGGTTGTCCGAGTGGAAGTTAATGCCTTTCGGCATGAAGAACGCATCGGCCCTGTTCCAGCGGGCCATGGACGCGGCCCTGAGGAATGTGCCTGCCGCGGCTTGCTACATAGATGACGT